TTCGGTGAATACGTACGCGGCAGTTCCTAATCAGCCTCAGTTGGTTAACTGAATACGAGCAGAATTCCTGGTTTCACGGTGTTTCAATGTAAATCAGACCTCCTAGCTATATGTTCACGCGTGTTTCTCTCCTGTTCCATTGATCGATATGTTGCATCCTGACGACGAACGAATGCTGAAGCGTATCTCGCTGCTGTTCGACCAATCGATATTCCAATTCCTGTCTACGAAGCGAACGTTGAACTGTATTTCGCTCCTGTTCGGCCATCCTGTAAGCATCATCCTGTCGACGAAGCGAATGTTCAATCGTATTCCGCTCTTGTTCGGCCAATCGGTATGCATCATCCTGACGACGAAGCGAGTGATTATGTGTATCTCGCTCCTGTTCCGCCAAGCGGTACGTAACATCCTGACGACGAATAGCGTGTTGCTGCGAGTTTCGCTCTTGTTCGGCCAATCTGTATGCATCATCTTGACGACAAAGCCAGTGAAGACGCGTATCTCGCCCCTGTTCCGACAAGCGGTACGTAACATCCTGACGACGAACCGTGTGCTGCTGCGTGTTTCGCTGTTGTTCGGCCAATCTGTATACATCATCTTGACGACGAATCGAGTGAAGACGCGTATCTCGCCCCTGTTCCGCCAAGCGGTACGTAACATCCTGACGACGAACCGTGTGCTGCTGCGTGTTTCGTTCTTGTTCGGCTATTCTGTACGCATCATCTTGACGACGAAGCGAGTGCTCTATCGTATTTCTCCCTGTTCGGCTAATCTTAATGCATCATCCTGTCGACGAGTAAAATGCTGTGCTGTATTACGTTGCTGCTCTATTCTTCGATTGTATGAAGATCTCCTCCTTGTTTGGTGCTGGATGCGATCCCGTTCACGCTCTTCTTCGCGATATTCTGCATTCCGTCTTCTGGTTGATAAAGAACGTGCGTTCTTAAGGATGTCCGAGGGGTTTTCTTCGCGGTAGTTGCTGACTCGCATCGCAATTAATCGTTGGCGTTGTTTTTACTGGGGTTTTTTTAGGTGCACACACACTCTTCAAGAACAATTGTTATTAATTGAATATGTACTTTTTTGCATTGTTATGAACCTCTAACGCAGACAGGTAGTTTGACCTTTTTGAAACAAACAATGTCATAAAATTTAAAATTTTCGTAAAAACAAAACAACTGTTCTTATAAAGGAAACCCTTTTACCTGATTCAATTATAGGTTCTAATTGGGTTGTTTACATATTATTTGTGATGTTATTTTTAAAAATTATAAAACCGATAATTTCTACCATAATTGGATGTTTACGCGAAAAAGATATCGCATTGCAGTACCACATATGTAGGTACCATTTTACCATAATATTACGTCTCCTTTCAAAAGAAAAGTGTATGACCTATCTTTATTTTCGAGGATTTACATAAATTACATTACATGGGAATTTGATAACGAATAAGAAAAAGGGGAGAATATTAATAATTTTTTCTGGGGAGGTTTGTTACCATATACGACTACAAAAATACCGAATTCCAACGCATTCGGCAGAAAAACACGTTGAATAACCCCAAAATACCGAAAAATGGCCGGACGGACATGGCTAGATCGTCTTAAAATTTTACCCTGATCAAGAATATATATACTTTATGGGGTCGAAAATGAATATTTCGATGTGTTACAAACGGAATGACAAAATTAATATACCCTCCAAACTTGGTGGAGCGTATAAAAAGGGGGTTATATGGGGACTACCCCAAAAAGGCGGTGAATATTAATAAATTTTTGGTGGACAGATTTGTTACGACTACAAAATACCGAATTGCAACGCATTCGCTACAAAAACGCGCTCAAGAACCCCAAAATACCGAAAATTGGGGGTACCTATATTCATAATTTTTGTGGGGAGATTTGGTACCTATTAGGAACTCATAATATTAAAGCCAAATCGGTGAAATAAATCCGGTCAAAACCCCCAAAAACTGGAAATTGGGAGGAACCTTTATATGGGGGCTACCAGAAAAAGTGGACCTATATTTATAATTTTTAGTGGGTAAATTTGGTACCCAATAAGAACACTATATACCAAATTTCAGCGAATTCGGTTGAAAACCGCTCTTAAGAACCTTAAAATTCCGAAAATTGGGGGTACCGTTATATGGGGGGTACCAGAAAAAATTGACCTATATTTATAATTTTTAGTAGGGAGATTTGCTTCCCAACAAGAGCTCAAAGTAAAACACGTTGAATAACCCCAAAATACCGAAAAATGGCCGGACGGACATGGCTAGATCGTCTTAAAATTTTACCCTGATCAAGAATATATATACTTTATAGGGTCGGAAATGAATATTTCGATGTGTTACAAACGGAATGACAAAATTAATATACCCTCCATACTATGGTGGAGGGTATAATAAAAATAATACTTTCAATTATTAATTAAAACGTATGCGCTACGTTTTTTTGCAACCTAAGGTTAGTGCTTTTGCCGATTTAACTAATAAGTATTTGTTAGTTGTTTTGCCGTCTCCCTTAATCATCAAGGAGTACCACACTGTCATTCGGACAGACATTACGCATATAACTGCGTACAGGCATATCGTTGCCAAAGGTAATATTGTTACCACCACACAAACAAACATTGAAGAACTATAGAACCCTATGTCTGAGTAGACGTGTTTTTTTATCGCAGCTGATCGTTCTGTTTATTTCTGCTTTTAAAATTCGTTACAAACGTAATTCACTGGTGCCTTGGTGTTGATATCTTGTGTTTATTGCAATATTGTCGAGTTATTTCAATTTTATCTCGAATTATTACTGTATACAATAAACATTAAGTTGCTGCGTTGCGTAAGGATTGCTGTGTTGCTGTTGTTCCTTTGTTGCTGTTGCCATTTTTTACCTTCATTTGTTGTTGTTGCTGTTTGATTTTAAAATGCCGGCTAATAAGGCTACTAAATGCAAAACATGCAACGATACAATAACCAAGACACAAGCAAGTGTTTTATGTAAATCATGCAACCGTTGGATTCATACATCATGCGCCAACATTGATGACAAGCATCTTTACGTTTTAAAAACAGTAAAATCCTTTGCGTTTATTTGTGCATCTTGCGAGCCGAATCTTAATAATTGCTCTAATAATGATGATGTATTGGATAGAATAAACAGTTTGAGTGAAAAGTTGGATAACTTTGTTCATAACTATGAAACCCAGCAAAACATTTTGAAGGGTGTTTTGGATGATATCAAAAAAGAAGTTAGTTCCTGTATTGCTGAGTTGAAGTAAGATATTAAAGACTGCAAAGATAAAGTCCGTAAGGTTGAAGTGAATACCACAACAAAATTTGCCGCTCTTGATCATGAAGACAATATATTGCATAGACGGTTAAATCGTTCTGACATACTGATTGGAGGACTGCCTGAGGGTTTGGACGACTTGGAAACACCTGTAATAGCTTTGGGGACATTCTACAATATATCTACTTTTCTTATTTCTGATATCTTTTAGCGCAAATCTTGGGCCAGTGATAAGCAACAACTTTTTCATTAACTCGGTCTTACAGTCTCATAACTTTAATATTGCACATTTAAATTGTCGTAGTATTAGGCTATCAGCAAATACCACTAAATTTCAAGAACTCAAATCAATAATATATGAATCCAAATTTAATATTGTCGCTGTTTCGGAGACGTGGCTTAAGCCAGAAGTTTCAAGCCGTGCAGTTGATATAACTGGGTATACATTTATCAGGAATGATCGTATAGACTCAAGAGGTTGTGGTGTTGGCATGTATATTATGAAAGGAATTAGTTATGAAATAGTATTCAAATCTTCGGTGCTGGGAAAATGCGAATCCCTTTTCATTGAATTGGCATCATGTGATGCAAAGATTTTAGTTGGAGTGGTATATTTACCTCCACCTGGCGACTTTTCCTTTTTTGAACATTTTCATAATAATCTATTTTTGGCATATAAACATTTGGTAGTGGTAGGTGATTTTAACTCTAATTTGTTCGACCCACAAAAAGCTATGTCTACCCGTTCCTCATGCTTTAGAATGCATTTGTCTATTTTGCATAATACAAAACCTACGCATTATAATGTAAATTATTTTATTTTGGTTAGTGATTTATGTATGGTTCAGTTATGGATCAGGTGATTTGCCCATCCATATCTGATCATGCACTTATTTTTGCCTCGCTTAGCATTAGCGTTAATATAAGCTGTGATTTTGTTGAATACCATGATTATAGAAATATGGACTGGGACAGATTTTTTCCTATCTAGCTGAATTGGACTGTGAAATGCTTTATGTGGCTGATAGTGATGTTAAGTGTTCTTTGATATCTTCAATTATTTCTGATTTATTTAATTTAGTTCCTACTGTACGCAGAAAAATTAGATCTGATGACAATTGGATGAATGTAAATCGGATTACTTTAGCCAGATCGCTTCGCGATTTGGCATTCGCAGCATACCAACAAAATAAGAATAGCGGCAATTGGAAAGTGTACTGTAAGTTTAGAAATAAAGCCAAATCAATCATTAGACGTGAGCGTAGAAGATATTTTTCGAAAAAAATTAATTACATGGGTTCTACTGCTTTCTGGCGTTTTCTTAAAGGTACAGGATGTACGGGTTGTGATGACATAGTTTCCAATTTTGATGTCAATAGTTTAAACAGTTCATTTGTTTCAAATAATTTGGCTACTCGTGATTTAGATTTTCATGATTTCGGTTAATCAGATAACGCATTTTCCTTCAGTTGTGTTGGTATTGATGATGTGGCTATTGCTCTAAATAATATTAAATCTAAATCCATTGGCATTGATGGAATAGCTGTTGATTTCATTAAACTTATTTTCCTATATATTTTTAATATGATTCTTGATCTGATAAACACAATTTTAACATCGTCGCGGTATCCGACCCTTTGGAAGAAAGCTCGTGTTGTTCCAATTCCCAAAGCCCATATTGTTAATGGTCCTGAAGATCTCAGACCTATTTCTATTTTGCCGGTATTGTTGAAAGTTTGTGAGCAAATTATGAAGAGCCAAATTTTGGGACGTGTGAGCGTCCAAATTTCTAAATACCAGTTTGCATTTCGTAAAAATCATAGTACTGCAAGCTTACTAATTTATTTGACAGATATGATTAGAAACAATACCAATCAAAATAATAATACTATTGTCGTTTCCTTAGATTTAACTAAAGCGTTTAATACTATTGTACATCAACAATTAATTTTAAAGCTTAAAAATGAGTTTAATTTTTCCTTAACTGCTTGTAATCTTGTTGCATCTTACTTGTCTGGTAGATCACAATTTGTATGTCTTAATGGTGAATCTTCTATGACTATTCCTGTTACATGTGGTGTACCACAGGGTTCCGTGTTAGGACCGTTGTTTTTTATTTTATATGTCAATAACTTAGAGGGATGATAATGATAATCAGCTTTCTCCTTATGATTTTGAGCGTTATGTAAATCTTTCTTTGTCTCGGTTCAAGCAATGGTCATCAAGTAACTCATTGATGATAAATTACTCTAAGAGTAAACCTATGCTATTTGGGAGTCAGTTATATGATTACAATTTATTTATTGACCTTTACAGGACGCTGATACTACCCGTGCTATTATATGGATCAGAAGCATGGGTTCTTGCGCAAGCAGATGAGGCAGCGCTTGGGGTGTTTGAGAGAAAAATTCTCCGAAAGATCTACGGGCCGATCTGCGTCGACGGTGAATATCGGCGTCGAATGAACATATATACGCGGACATCGACATAGTCAGTCGTATTGAGCTGCAGCGACTACGACATGGCTAGGCCATGTTGTGCGGATGAATGAAGATGCCCCAGCTCAAAAGGCATATAAAAATGTGCCTACTGATGGTTCCCGTAGAAGGGGAAGGCCACGAATTAGATGGAAAGGCGAAGTAGAAAACAACATCCTGGAACGTGGTCTTCCAAATTGGAGGACTTGCGCACAAGACCGACGCGCTTGGAAATCTTTTTTAAGCTCGGCTTATGGAACAACTGTTCTGTAACAAGCCAGCTAAGTAAGTAAGTTATTTATTGACCAGAATAGGATCGGCTTTGTAAGCTGTCACAAAATTTTAGGAGTGTTTATAGATGATAAGTTATCATTTGATACTCACATAGATTTTATACATCGGAAAGTGTGTGGAATAATTCGCAAGTTGTACTCTACGAATTTATTTCTTCCATCTTGGGTAAAAAAGAGGTTGGCATTTGCTCTTCTTATGCCCCATATTAATTACTGCTTGGAAGTAGTATCTGGAACCATAGATCGTACCCTTTTCAAATTAAAGCGCATTGTTAATTGTATTTCTCGTTTCGTGTATGGAGTAAAGAGATATGAGCATATTTCTGGCTATGTTGAGAGTTTTTTAGGAGTTGATTTTGATATGTATGTTAGAATCAAATTGTTATGCTCATTTTATAAAGTCGTTAAATGTGGAGTACCTCATCTACTATCGAATTTGTTTAGATTTAATATGTCTTCAAGAACTACTCAGTTATTTATACCAAGAATATATAATTCTGTTTTTGAGAAATCGTTCTTAATACGAGTTGCTCGAATATGGAACTACTTGCCAGTTGAACTGAGAGTATTTTCTCATTCAAACAATGCATTTCGTTTGAAACTTTTGGACTATATTTGAAGCGCTGATCCAAATATTATCTAATGTTTTTTGATTTGATATATTCTTGATGCCTTTAAATACATATTGACATTTATTTATGGTCTGATTTATATATTATGTTTAAAACTTTTTTTAATGATTTTATTTTTAAAACTTTGTTGTTTATCTTGGCATTAATTTGCAACTTTTGCATTTTGTAGTTATGGCTGGGGAGCCAATTATATAAGTTTTTAGATGTAAGAGTCTGCTTAGACATGTTTTTATATTTTTATATTGTTAATACTATTTATTGGCCTTGAAGGCTGTGGTATTATTTAATGGAAATAAATAAATAAAAAATAAATAAAATAAAATTACAAGCACACAATTCCTTTGTATAAATCTAAATCGTTTAATACAGATAATAAACCCACTTCAAAATGTTTACCCTCCCTTTCGATTCGAAAATCGTTGTCAGCTTCAGCACTCGTTTTTCGTCCCTCGAAACATAAATCTTCAACATCGGTTGGAGTTCAAAATCATAAATTGGATTTTTTTTAAATCGTTGTACAAAATGTCAAGAAAAATTTAACCACATTTATTAATACAAATTTATTAGGACATATTGTTGTAAAGCGACCTTCGGAAAACCTCGATATAGCGACAAATGCTGATGCATCCCTCGAACATAGTTTCAGGAAAATAATAGCCCGATGGAAGCCCGAATCTGTAACTGCAGGTTCATTTGCAGCTTCATGCTATTATATGTCGTGCATTAATAAAAACTCGATTGAAGCCCGAATCTGTAACTGCAGGTTCATCTGCGGATTATAATAAACTATTTCGTAAATATTGCTTACGTAAGGCCCGAATCTGCTACTTCAGATTCATCTGCGGCCTTACACTACAAATTATCGTTGTAACGGAGTTGGATCCAGAATATGTTACTGCAGATTCATCTGCGGTTCCACTCCTTACTTTGTTCGAATTGCTCACACTCTATCTACTATATACATACTTGTATTGTTTAGAAACATCCCTTGATGTTTCAAGGGGGTCGGAATGTTTTACATTTGTATAACAAATGTTTTAGGTAAGCCAGCTTGATGCCTTTCTTGTTGTTTTAAAAATAAAAACAACAAGATTTTTATTTTAGAAGTGAGTTATGGTCACATTGATTACATTCGGGAAAGGCAGAGAAGACTATAGTTCCGGATTTCGCCACAAATCCTCATTAGTTCTCTT